TACAAAAATTAGCCAGGTGTGGTGGTATGCACCTGTAGTCCTAGCTACTCAGGAGGCTGAGGCAGGAGAATCGCTTGAATCCGGGAGGTGGAGGTTCCAGTGAGCTGAGACAGCGCCACTGGACTCCAGCCTAGGCAACAGAGGGAGACTCTGTCTCAAAAAGGAAAAAAAAAAAAATCTTCAATGTACCCTGATTATATTGCCACCCTGAAACCTGCATCTTTTTTTTTTTTTTTTTTTTTTTTTTGAGACGGAGTTTCGCTCTTGTTACCCAGGCTGGAGTGCAATGGCGCGATCTCGGCTCACCACAGCCTCTGCCTCCTGGGTTCAGGCAATTCTCCTGCCTCAGACTCCTGAGTAGCTGGGATTACAGGCACGCGCTACCATGCCCAGCTAATTTTTTGTAGTTTTAGTAGAGACGGGGTTTCACCATGTTGACCAGGATGGTCTTGATCTCTTGACCTCGTGATCCACCTGCCTTGGCCTCCCAAAGTGCTGGGATTACAGGCTTGAGCCACCGCGCCCGGCCGAAACCTGCATCTTTTTTCAGTCATGTCTGTCTCTCTTTACTAAACTAAAAGTTCCTTGAGGGCAGAAATCTTATTTATGGATTTTTCTCTCTAGTGTCTTGCATCAACCTAATACAGGTAAATTTAAGATGGAGAAGAAAGCTAATCCTAGGTACACAATAAGATGTACTCAGACACTGCTACCAAAAGTTTGAAAAGCACAAGGGATATGAACCGTTGCTGAATAAAACACAAATAAGTAATGTAAAATATATAAATAATAATGGAATTGAATGGGCTACAGGCTTAACTCTAACTTAATTGATTTCTCCTCAGTGAAAGGGCGTTCAGATTTTCCTTCTCAGGTGTTAAAAATCAACTTACCAACCAACCAACCAATCAACCTTCAGGCCTTATTTCTGCCAAAAACAAATTAGGCTGGTAGATCTGCCTTTCATTCTTTGTTTCCTCAGCTACTGACATCAATATATTCCAACTGGAAATTTCAATCAGATCACTGGTCTGAATATTATTTAATTTCTGTAAAGGTTAACTAAATTTACAACTATAATAAATTTCGGTGCATGTTTCTCCTGGAAAGAGTTTTCAGGATGTGTGATTTACGCTATGAAAATTTCACAACTGGGTAGAAAGTGATCTAAACCAAGAACAAGTGGTAATCACTGTTATTAAGGTAATTTTAAAGTTCTCTGGGCCAAATGGTCAGATACTGAATGAGCTAATCATTGAACTGACTCTGACGATATAGTCAATTGTTACTCAAAATAAAACTATTAATTTTCCCTCATATCTTTATAATACAGGGATACCTCTGAATTAGAAGGCTCAAAACAGACTCAGAAAACCTGTATTAAAAGACTCTTCCACGAAAACTCCATAATAACCAAGGTCCAATTAACAGAAGAATTAAACTTTTCAGTAACTACCAAGGGATTAACAAAAGGGACTTTTCTTAAAGAAAAGTAAACTTTCACAACATACAGTCATGCATCACTTAACGACAGGGATATGATCTGAGACATCCATCAACTGTCACTGTGCAAATGTCATACTGTACACAAACCTAGATGGTATAACCTACTACACATGTAGGTTATATGGTCGGGACTATTGCTCCCAGACTGCAAACCTGTACACTCTGTTACTGTAATGAACACTTCAGGCAATTCTAACACAATAGTATGTCTATCTAATCTATCTAAACATGAAAAAAGTGAAGTAAAAATATGGTACACCTTACAGGGCACTCAGCATGAACGGAGCTGCATGACTGGAAGCTGCTCTGGGTGAGTCAGTGAGTGGTGAATGAAAGGTTTGAGACATTACTGTACACTGCCGTAGACTTTATGAGCACTGTACACTTAAGTTACACTAAATTTTAAAAAACAAAGTGTGCTACAACTTTACAATATCACTAGGTGATAGCAATTTTTCAGCTCCACTATAATCTTATGGGACAACTATCATATATGCACTCCACCCTCATTATGCAGTACATGGCTGTGTTAAGATGTGGCCAAATTCCTCTCAGAAATGGGACTCTCTAAGAGAGAAATAATAGGGAAAACAGTTTAGTACTCCTAGCCTCAAACTGATTTCTTGCCTAAGAATTCTAGAACTCTCATTTTTATGTTTTTAAGACACATTCAAGAGTGTCTTTGTGAAGCTGAGAAAAAGTGCATGTACGAGAAATAGGCTCAGAATGTTCAAAGAAACTGATGGCCACAAAGTCTCTGACGGTATAAAATACTGATTGGTGATCAAAATAAATAATAATGGCCAGGTTCCATGGTTCACCCGTGTAATCCCAGCACTTTAGGAGGTCAAGGTGGCAGAGTCGCTTGAGCCCAGAAGCTTGAGACCAGCCTGGGCAACACAGAGAGACACCCCCCCCCAACAAAAAAAATTTTTTTAAATAGCCAGGCATGGTGGCACACACCTGTAATTCTAGCTACTCGGAAAGATGCCTGAGCCCAGGAGACTGCAGTGAGCCTTGATCACTGCACTCCAGCCTGGGCAACAGTCACTGTCTCAAAACAAAACAAAACGGTAATCATGATAACAAATAATGGCACTAAGTGGTTATTTGCTGGCACATATACTTTGCATACATAAGGCAACTAGAAGTTAACTAATTTGCTTTCCCAAAAAGTGGAGATTTAAGAGCAAAGTCCCCTGACCTTAAGCCCAAGTAGGTGCTTACGTTACATGTTATGTTATACTGCCTCCTACAGGTAATTGGAGGCTGCAGAAGAACGAAAAAAATGATTGTATTATGCCCAAAGGAATAAAACAGATCTGGAACCTGTCACTCATGTTAAAGACAAAGAGATACATATAGGTGGTACCTGGGGTTGATAACAAGATATCCCCTCAAGATTAGTTATAATGAAACTAAGAAATGATTAGGATCAATTCAAAGTGAAAACACCCAAAATCCAATCAAGGTGACCAACATAAAATCTCAGGACTCATAGGACTTAACAAAACTGTAGTCCTCAGTATATGCATATTGTATAGAACGTCCCAAATAAAGGAGATGGCCTGCAGATTGCACTGACGGAGGAATTTAAAGGAGTGAAGAGAAAAAGAGTCATACTTCAGGTCAAGTTTAGAAAGGTTTTTCCTAGGAATTCCAAGATGCAGATATATGCCCAGAGGAGAATACATCCAAGCTGAGGCTACGTCGTTATCCAACTAATCCCCTTTCTTCGGATTTCAGGTTCACTTAAGGAGCTAATTATAATTTGCATTCCCATTCAGGTCTGCCTACAGGGAGAGACTACACTGACAAGGAGTGACTGGTCCACAGTAGATTCTTAAATTTTCTTACATTCATTCCATTTAAAATTTTCTAAGTAACCAATCTAGCCCTATTTGGAAAATTAAACTTTCATTTTCACAATTCCCTCAAATCTCCATCATCTTGCTACATAACTTCAGAAATGTTACTTAACCCTTTAAGGCTTTAGATTCTTCCTTTGTAAAATGGGAACAAAAATACTTTGCAAAATAAATGTGTTTGACACGGAACTGTTCTATCTCATTCTGTTGCCCAAGCTCACAAAGCTAGTAATTGCAGAAAGCTGGGATCTGAACCCAGACTTACTTCAACTCCATTCTTTTTCCATTACGACATTCTCTAGTCTCAGTTCTGTCACCCCAGACTCTCTGAAGACTTAGGACAATTTACTTAACCTTTCTGGGCCTTACATATTTAAGTGACTTTCCTTCTAGGGCTTAGGCAACTAAAATGTGTGCAAAACAACAACAACCCTACTACTTAGTCCACAAGGACGCGGGGGGCGGGGGGAAATCACCCTGTGCTTTAAAGTTAAAGCCCTAACTTCTGAGAAACCGGGGTGCTGTGTCTGAGGTTATTGGTGTGCCTAATTAACTCCAGAGTAAGCGTGCTGAACGGCAGAATCATTCCAATCAACAGACTACCATCCGAGAGCTAACTTTATAAGATCAACGACTGGCTGGCTACCAATACAAAAGAATGAATTCCATCCACCACCACAGGTTGCCCTAAAGTCAAAAAGGGAGAACTGATCAACATCTGTAAATAGTAAGGCTTACTATCTTTAGACTGGAAATGTTAAAACAAGGACTAAGAACTAAAGTACAGCTTACTTGCTTTGTAAGCACTTTCATGGTGTTTGGTAAATAAACTCCATACTAATCTAAATCCACGGCTTGATACAAATAACTTCACACTAAACATTTCTAATGCTAAACTGCATTTAAAAAACTTTCTGAAAAGGAACAGTATAAAAAAATCTCAGCAAAGAAATCTGAGTAAAAGAAAACAAGCAAAAACTACAATGATTTACCAAAACCAGGCTTTGGAAAGAAAGTTCAATAGAGGTTAATTTAGTAAAATTAAATTATTCACAAGAGCAAGGCGGTCCAAATAGCACTCTCTACATTTACATACAGCTCTCGTATTTCACATTATCTTGACCCCACACTCTCATAAAGAATTTTTTCGGCTGGACATTTTCCTGAAAGGGGTAGCCTTAAAAGTAAAGGAAAGCTATTTAATCCACTCTTCAAAGAGTTGCCCCTTCGACCAGCACACTAAACGTCTATAAGCATACGGCAGCTTCTTTAAAATCGCAGCTAATAAAATTTGTTACCGCAAGTCAGGCTTTTAGGTTAAAACCTTCAACCTCACTTTCTTTTTGATTCAATCTGATAAGCAAAGAAATCTGAGTCATAAAAAAGGAATATCCAGCGCTACGGTAAGACAATTGTCATTCCATCCCCTCCCCCCACAACACACAACTTTTCAAAACTCGTTCCCAGGTTTTCTAAGCCCCCACGCGTAAGCTCCCCGCACCTCTCAACTGGAACGAAGTCTTCACCCAGGAAAATGGTTTTGAGATTCTTTTTTTGGGGGAGAGAGGGAATGATAAATCGTTCCCTACTAAGATCTTAACAAAGTAGGAGCAGGATGTACTGTACCTGGGCGTTGGCGTGGAGTTTGTGCTCGTTAGAGACGTGGTGCCTCAGGAGAAGGGTTTTCTTGTAGTTGCGGGTCCCTCGCGAAAGCTCATCATGCCCCACTTGGGGAAGGTCTACGCTTCCCCCATCCGCAGGGGTCTTTTGGCACCAGCCGCAAGACATAAGGCCAGTATCCCTGGAATAGCGCAGCCACGGAAAGTCCTTGAGCCAGGAGGCCTGGAAGGAGGACTGAAGCTTCTGCATTAGAGACTTGGGCCGCGCGAGCGGGAAGTGCTGGACAGTCTCTCCTTCGCCAGCTCCCACACCGCTGCCCTCCACTTCGTCCCCGCCATCGCCGCCCGACCGCCTGCTGCTACTGCAGCTGCCGCCTTCCGCCCCGCTGCCGTCGCCCAGGCTCGCCCCCTCCTCCTCGTCCTCGGTGCTGTCGCTCAGGGACGCGCCGTCCTGCATCAACTCCTTCCTCTCCAGCGCGTCCAGCTCCAGATCTACAGTCGCCGGCCCTCGCCCATTGAAATGCCTCAGGGGCCACGCCGAGGTCTCGGGGCGACCGCGGCTACTGCCATTGTTGCCGAGACCCCCGCCGCCGCCGCCTCCTCGGAAGGCCAGAGTCCGACGGTTCCTTTCCGCTAGCAGGGGGCCCCCAGCGCCACCGCCGCCCAGCGAGGTGGGGCCGCCCGCGTCTTGGGGGAGCAACTCCTTGGCTTCCTCGGCGACGCCGGCGGCCGCCCCAGCGGAGGCCTCCAGGTCTTGGGGCTCCAGGCCCTCCAATTCCACTTCCTCGTCGGCCCCCCGCCCATTAGGCTGCTGAAGCGCGGGCGGCGCTGGCGGCGGGGGCTGTCTCGGCTGGGGCTGCGGAGGCCAAGCTGAGGCCTCCCCGCCAGCGTTATTGTTCGTGGAGCCGCCGCCGCTCGCGGTGACCAACCCGCCTCCTCGGAACGCCAGCGTCCTGCGGTTCATTTCACTGAACGACATGGCGCGCGCCGCCGCCGCCGCCGCCCGGTGCCCCGGCTCGCGCACGGCCTCGGGCCGCGTCCCGCGCGCTCCCCGCGGCTCCCCCTCCGTCTCGCCCCCGCCCCCGGCGTTCCGGTCTCGCGGGGCTCGGCCTCGCCCTCCCGCCCGGCAGCCCGGCTCGCGCTCGCTCCCGGGGCTGCTGCACGCGTCCGCTACCTCTGCCGGGCCGCCGCCTCCGGCCGCTCTCTCGTCCTCCACCCCCGCCCCGCCGCGCTACGGGCAGCGTCCCGCGCGGAGAAGGGGGCGGGCGGCGGAGAGGTGAGGAGCTAACCGGGAGCGCGCGAGGCCTTCGAAGTTGAGCGGCGGAGTGCGGGGAGACCGTCCGCTGCCCCCTCTTTAAAGCCGCGCGCACACCGACCCTCCACACAGATATCCTTCCTCCGCGCGCCGAGGAGTCCCGACGCCGCCGCCGGCTTCGCAGGCGCTGAGGGCGAGAGGCACGCTAAGCTGCTCGGCTCCGCCACATAACGAAGCGACAATAAAGCCGGCGGAGCGTTTCCGTCCGACCAGGCCCTGGCGGAGGTCGAATGGCAAATGAACAACGGACCGTGCGCCCACAATGCACCGGGGTAGCAGTAACCGCTGGAGGGGGAAAGGGTGGGGGCCGGGCTGGGGGAGGGGGGCTGGGCTTGGGGCTGGGCAGGGGTGGGGTGGGGGCGCCAGGGGACCGGGAAAGGGGTTGGGCCGCGCCTCCGGCCTGGGGGCGGGGGTGCGGCCGCAGGAAAGGAAGTCGGCCGAGGGGCGGGGGACAAAAGGCCGGGCGGCGGGCTGGGGGTCTCAGGGAGGTGGCGGGCGTGTGCGGCCAGGGCCGGGCTACGCGGAGGACAAACAGCTGGCGAGTGTCAGGGTTTGGCCGCCTCCCCGCTGCCCACACGCACCTACCCGCGCCCGGGACGCGCATTTCCTTCTCTCGCCACGAGTTCACCTGGGACTTTGCAAATAACTGTGCGGTGGGAGCGGCGCTCCAGCCTTGTCATTTGCTGAGGGTGGGTGTCGGTGCCCAAGGAAGTGAACTTATTTTGTTCCTTCACAAAGACTGGACCAGGCGTTGCCTTACACGCGAGGAGGTTACGACCACGGACACCACCTCCTCTGATGCATTGTGCGAGGCAGCACCTCGGGCCCATGGCAATAATCATTTCACAGAAAATGCACCGCCCCGAGTGTCTTATTGCTGTGATGAAATGGAAATTTAAATAAAAGGTCGAACACGTGCGTTCACTGGGAAGTATTGACATGGGTGTTACATCACCAGCAGCCAATCAGATAACTCCAGTCATGTTTATACTTCTACAACCACCTTGTGAGTATTACAGTATGTCATAACGTTATAAATATTAGGCAGGGTTTTCCCCAGGAGCGGGGAGTAGTCTGCTTCTACGGACGCTGTGAGCCGCTCCGAAGGTTGTGTGTTTAAAGACAACAGTTCGTTTTTAAGATTTTTTTCGAACTGTTTACATTGCATGGAATTCAGATTGATTCCAACAGAATGAACTGGAAATGAAATCCCACAAATATAATCATAGTAGAGTTTTTTCCAATTTAGGGCCCTTATACTCCTTGAAAAAAATTTTAATATGCTAAATTTAGCAAATACTGAAGTGTTTAGACTCATCTGCTGACTTGAGAATTTAAGCCTGTTTCGGGTTAAAAAAAGATGCTTTCAAGTTATGGAAAGTTATGGAGGGACCTTTTACTGTTAAGTAACATATATTAGAAGTTGAATCACAAACTAATAAAATGCTCAAGATAATTATTCACTAGAAACGAATATATGGCAGGGCAAATTTTTTAATAATACATATGTGCATAAAATGAGAACTATACATGAACTCTTTATAGTTATACATTAATGGGAAGGGTTATGTTAGACGCTTGAACCTCCTACATAATATATATTAGTGTAAATAAAGTTATATATGTTTTGTAAAGAGCAGTTGTTACAATTTTTAGACCCTCTAGTTATATGATTCTTGTTCTCTTCAAAAAAATTTTTAGATTTCAAAACTAAGAGCAGTATGTAAAGTCTTGTATAATGTAAAAGATGGTGTGTTTTTTAAGGTTACTTTAAAAAGCAAGCTTTGGCTGGTCCCAAGGTAGTAAATTTTCTCAACCGGTTATTCACAGTCGGTTACCCTTTGTGCCACTCTTTCCCCACTTCCACTTGATTAGTCTTTTAAAAATAATTAAATATTTAAATAAACGAGTCTTCTCAAACGTATTATAAAATACCATTTGTCTTCATGTTTTTTAAATGGACTAAACACATAAATCCACATCCAGACTCATATATTGATTGTATAGGTTTATTCAAAGCAACATTCACTTGATTAACTGTAATTTTAATACCTGTGTAAATGAGCGGTGTTGTATATCAAACAAAAAACATTGGTTCTATCTTACAGATTACATGTAATTTTAATGTAAAGAATACTACTGGTCTCTCACAAAAGGATTTTGTCTTTGAGTTATTTTTCCAGTAGTAAACATATTGTCATGTGGCCACCAGTGGTCAAGAGCTTGAAATTCTGATATAGTTCCTCAGGTGGGTGTAGTTGTAGGGTGTTTGTTTGTTTGTTTTTGTTTGTTTTGTCCTGCGTTGTTTTAGTTGCTGGGAAGTTTTAAGACAGTGGAGTCTGTGATCTTGACCTAATTTGTACCCTTAAGAAATAAGACCTCTGCCTAGTGTGGCTGTATATAATATGTGCCACATATGGAAGAATGCCATTTGTTTTTAATGCATGTTTTTTTTCATTCTAGGCGTTTTGAAAATAAATACATTTATTATATTTTAACCACCACAGCCTCCACCCCCCAAAAAGAGGGAAGAGTTACTGAAGTTAATTACTTACCTAGGATAAAGGTGATGGGAAGTGAAAAATGGACTTAAGAATTTTTATTTCAATTCTAAAGCCTGCTTTCATTCCAAAACTGTTAAATTCAAATCTTTGCTGCTTCTCATGTCGTATCCCTGGTACATAGTAGGCACTATGTAAGTTTATGTTAATATTTTTGCTTTCTAGTAGTGCCAGAGTCAACCAAAAACGTTTAAATCCGTAATTGTGTTGTGTTAGAACTGCCTTTTTCTCAAACATGTATCTTACCTTATATTTTATAAAATCCACATTGTCTTCTGTCTGAAGTTATGTTTAAATATGGACTAATTAGGAATGAATGACACTAGATTCAAGTGATACAAATAAATGACTTAAACTCTAGGACCACTGAACTAACAAATAGTATCAGTGTGATGTATGTGTGTGTGTGATTGAGCATGCATGTCTGTGTGTGTGCGTATATATATGTATGTGTTCAGTTGTCTTCCTCTAAACTCTGAAGGAAGGTAGAAATCAGAAACAAAGCTCAAAGGGATAGTAATCACAAATATCTCATGATACTCTGTAAGAAGGGAACTTTGAGTAACAGAAGGGGATCTCCTATGCTGTGAATGGAGTTTTTAGGAATTCCCCAAGCCCTTCCAGTCTCTTAGCAAGGAGGGATGTGTTCTCCCCCTCTAACTCCTATACTTATTGTTAGGGTACTACCATATTCAAGGGAATTCCCCCTTATGCTTACCAGGGGAACCCCTTCAGAATGGGGCATCCCCAACCAATTTGTCCCCTAATTTCATCTTACCCCACATAAAACAGTTGTAGGTTACACTTGATACTGGCTCACCATATCTCTGTAATGGGGCTTAGCTTCTATACTTGGCCCAGCTGATCTTTGAGGGGCAAACTTGATTGTCCTTCACTGCCTTGGTAGAGGTACTTTGCCTCTTAGGTTCTAGGGACAGTAGCCTTTCTGTCTGTGGGATTGACAGGAGTCATCCACCAAAATGAAGCACGTGAGGACAGGGACTGTCTTTCACCTCCATCCCAACCCCACCAGCACATAGTAGGCAAGCAGTGTTTGTTGAATAATTTTTGTATCTTCCCTTGCAGTCAAATTTGGTAGACAACCGTTTGTTTTACATGTTTTGTTTTGTTTTGCTTAGTACAAAAATATTCTCCTTAAAGGTATTGAGTGGCCAGGCATGGTGGCTCACACCTCTAATCTCAGCCCTTTGGGAGGCCAAGGCTGGTGGGATCACGTGAGGTTGGGAGTTTGAGACCAACCTGGGCAATATGGCGAAACCCTGTCTCTACTAAAAATACAAAAATTAGCTGGGCATGGTGGTGTGTGCACCTGTAGTCCCAGCTACTTGGGAGGCTGAGGCAGGAGAATCGCTTGAACCTGGGATGGGGAGGTTGCAGTAAGCCAAGATCGTGCCACTGCACTCCAGCCTGGGCAACACAGCAAGACTTCATCTCAAAAAATAAAAATTAAAAACTTTTTAAAAGATTAAAAAATGATTTAACCAGTGTTCTACTGTTGAACATTTCATTATTTACAGGTGGGTTTTGTGGGATTTTCTTTTTTTTCTTTTTTTTTTTTTTTTTTGTGGTTATAAACAATTCTTCAGTGAACATCCTTGAAAATAAAACTTTGTAAATATTATTACTTCTGGGTGAATTCTAAAAAGGGGAACTTGTGGCAAAGGGAATGAACTTTTTTTTCTTTTTTTTTGATAAAAGAATTCAGAAGGAGGGAATGAACATTTTATAAACAAAGGATTTTTAAAGTGAACTAGGCAAAAGAAATCTGGGATATATGTGTAGACAAAGGCTTAATATCACTGATATACACAGAGCTCTAATAAATCAATTTAAAAAACAAAAATAGTGGAAGAAAAAAATGTGCAGAGGACATGTATTAGAAAATCTTATACAAGTTCTGCGGTCTGAAATACAAGTGCCATGGCGTGAACATTTGTGTTCTCAAAATTTATATGCTGAAACCTAAGCCCCATGGTAATGGTATTAAGAAGAGAGGTGATTAGGTCATGAGGACAGAGCCCTCACGAATGGGATTAGAGCCCTTATAATAGAGGTTTGTGGAAGAGCTTGTTTGCTCTTCCACTATGTGCAGTGACAAGGTGCTGTCCATGAGGAACAGGCAGGCCTCTTTCAGACACTGAATCTGCTTGTACCTTGATCTTGGACTTCCCAGCTTCCAGAACTGAGAAACACATTTCTGTTGTTTTTAAAGTACCCAGTTTGTGGTTTTGTTATAGCAGTCCAAACAGATTTAAGACAAGTGACTAGAAAACATATGAAAAGATGTGCAGTCTTGGCTGGTAATCAGAAATTTGCATAAAAGTCACCATTGATAAGTCATTTTTTTAACTCATCCATGTTATAGGAAAATGATCATAGTGGGAATATAGATAGGAACAAGTTTTCTACTAGGTTGCTCATATGTATCAACATATAAAATGTGTAGATAACTTTTTACCCAGCAGTTTCAGCACTAAGAATTTATCCTAGATAGATGTATTAAGATGTCCGTTCAAGGCGAGGCGCAGTGGCTCACGGCTGTAATCCCAGCACTTTGGGAAGCCAAGGCAGGCAGATCACGAGGTCAGGAGTTCACGACCAGCCTGGCTAATATGGTGAAACCCTGCCTCTACTAAAAATAACAGAAATTAGCTGGGCATGATGGCAGACACCTGTGGTCCCA